AATGCCCCACCTGCCCCAGTGACACCAGTCAGGAGCTGATGCAGGAGGCTCAGCTGACAGGCTGATCACTGCAGATGCACATCAAATGAAGTTGGTTTCCTTACAGGGCATGGCACAGAAAGAAGCGCTGGGCACCTCCCTGGAGGGGATTCATCCAACTTACCCCTACAAGGTGGTTCTGCTGGGGAGCACATCAGTGGGAAAGTCAAGCCTGGCCTACCGATATGTGAAAAATGACTTCAGGGAGTCACTGCCAACCGTGGGATGTGAGTGAGTGCCTTCAATAGCTTCATGGCTCCAGACACGAGACCAGGCCTGATGCCCTTCCCTATAGCAGGGTGGGATGCAACAGAACTGGTTGGTACATCTTACAGTAGCACAAACTCACTTTTGAACATAAAGCAGCAGAAATACAGATTCAGCATTGCCACTGATAAATTCACTTACTGCAGTAGCACTAAAACCCAAAGCCAGACAGTAATTGAGCTCGTATTGGAAAAACAAACCCAACAAACAAACCAGTTGGTAACTCAGTAAGTTCAGTTTCACTCAGGTATTGTGTCACAGTCAGAAGTGCAAATCTTACCAAAGAGGCATCTCTGCTTTGGAGAGAAAAGCAAGCCCACCACCTGCACAGAGGATCACATCCTCACCCTCTACTGTAGCAAGCTTCAACTGTCCAATTTATACTCTTGAGAGAAGGGGAGGTGGGACTGCAGCCAAATTAGCTGCTCCTGCCACCATAAATGGGGTGGCACCTATTCTCATTTGGTGTATTTATTACATGTAATTACCTTCAGATGTGCTGCTCCAAGGACTGTGGCTCTTGTGCAAGGGCAGAACAGAACCTTAGCATCATTCCTTCTTCTACCCACTGAGGCAACATGCCTCCCCCTGATTGTCTAATCACCCCCATCAGCAGCCCATCCATCACCCCTATCAGGGTGTTGTCTTAATTCCCTTCACCACATATCTCACACCCAGAAACAGACCTCCCCCTTTGCTGTCACCTCCAGCTCTCTGCAGCCCATATTCCTCAGCACCAGGCTATGAGCAAAGCCATGTCCAGACGTGGTTTGGAGGTACCAAACACCAATGTCTGCAGCAGCAAAGAGTGAAACTGGGATCTAGCTGCACGGCTCATCTGCCCCTTGCACGCTTGGTCCTGTGCTGCCCTCGCACCTTTCAGACACCCAAGGACAGCCTCTCCCAAGGAGGGCTGCCACTACCCTGGTGTCCCGCTGGAGCAGGGAGGTCGGATGCAGGCAGGGCAGCTGCAGCAGGGTCGCTCAGCACTGCCTGATGGAAGGCTACCAGCAGTGCCTCCTTCCTCCAGACCTCCCCACGCCATGGCCAGGCTGCAAGCACCACGCTGTGCCCCACAGACAAAGGAGAGTATCTGCTCCTGTGCACCCTGACCTGACAGGCCATGCTGAGCAGCCTGTGTCTGAAGGCAGGCTTTGTGCGTGCTCATGCTACATCTCTGGATGGTCTCCATCATCAAGGCGAGAGCTCTGCTCCCTCTAAAACCTCCCTTGAGCCAACATGTCTGCTGACATCAAGGTGCCTGCCCTGTATGTTCACATCGGCACAGCTTCCTGCAGCACCTAGACATTATAGACATTCATTTTACATGATACACCTGGATTTTGCCCTAAGAAGGCACAGCAGACACAAAGGTTGAGGTCCCACCCGCAATCTGAAGAGCTAGCTGGTGAAGGAGAGTAAAGCACTGTGGAGCTGCTCCCCTTGTCCTTCTGCTTTGGCTCTGGCTGGTGCACAAGTGGCTGTCTGCTCCCTGGGAGCAGGGACAGAGGCTTCCCTGTAGTGGGACCCTTTTCAGTGGATATTTCTATTCACAGCTCCCACAGGTCTGACCCACCAGCAAGCTGGAAGTGGCTATCTGAGGGCTATTTTGCAGGGCTCAGAGCTATCTGATAGCAGAACTGGTGTGCATCCACCCAAAGCTGCTGCCACGAAGGACTCCCAGCCTGCCACAGGCTGCCCTGCCATCCCATCAACAGTGCCAGTGCTTATGAGCAACACACCACAGTTTTGTGCATTAGAGCACCTTTACTGGCCCTCAGGAGGGATTTCACTTCACAGCAGCAAATCTGAGCTCTCTGCTCTTCCTGCAAGTGAACATGCACCTTCCCTGCAGGCTCCTTCTTCACACAGACGCTCAACATGGAGGTGGCCACAGTCAAGTTGGAGATCTGGGACACAGCAGGCCAGGAGAAGTACCACAGTGTGTGCCACCTCTATTACCGGGGTGCCCATGCTGCTCTCCTTGTTTACGACATCACCAACAAGGTAAGGCAGGGGATGGTGCTCTAAGCCCTGCTGCATTGCCAGGGCAGGTGTCCAGATACAGGAGTACCACTTGAGAAGGTGAACATCCCACCTGGGATGTGCCAGGGGCTGTACCTGCCCATGTAGGCCCATGCCACAACCCTGGGGTGATTTTTGATGCTGTGCATCCTATCCAAGGCTGATTTAGCCTTAAAAGTGTTTGAGGGCTTGTGACTTGTTTCCCTGAGAGAGGGCAATCAAAGTCATAGAATCATAGCATCACAGACCGATTTGTGTTGGAAGGGACCTTTAGTTCATCCAGTTCCAACCCCTGCCACGGGCAGGGACACATTCCACTAGAGCAGGTTGCTCCAAGCCCCTGTGTCCAACCTGGCCTTGAACACTGCCAGGGATGGGGCAGCCACAGCTTCTCTGGTCACCCTCTGCCAGCACCTCAGCACCCTCACAGGGAAGAACTTCCTCATTCAGTTCAGTCTCCCCACCACATCTCTCTCACCCACTTTGGTTTGGTGCTACCCATTGAGCTTTGCTATGCCTGAGAGAATAGAATTAAATCAAAACCATATCCCTGAGTGGTTTTGTCTTCATCTCTCCAGGAAACACTCAACAGAACAAAGCTGTGGCTGAGGGACCTGGAGAAGGAATTCCTTCCTGATGAAATTGTCATTGCTTTGGTAGGCAACAAGGTGGATCTTGCTGCTGAGCGAGAAGTCACTACCGAGGTGAGTGCTTGGGGTGAACTCTCACACCTGCTCTTCACCCCTCACCAGCAAGCACTGGGATATGTCCTATCAAAACTAAGAATTTACGAGGTTTTCAGACACCTCCAGAGTCCCTGTGCAATTCCTGACCTGCTATGAACTGCCACTGTAACTGAACGAGCAGCACCAGAGGCAGCTGAGGGAATAACTCTGCTTGTCTCTACCTAGGAGGGGGAAGAGTTTGCAAGGACCAGAGGCCTCCTGTTCATGGAGACATCTGCAAAATCCAGCCACCAAGTAAATGATATCTTTATGGCCATAGGTGAGTTGTGTCATGTCTTTAGATGAGAGCAGAGCTGTGTGTGCAGGTCCCAAACCTTTGCTTCAGGGCTGCAAATATCTTCCCCTCTGCAAAGCTGACCCCCTTCATTGCTTGTGTTTGGCACTGAGATCTTCCTGGCTGGTCCAGCCTGTGCCACATCCAGCAACTGCAATGGTCACAGCCACAGCAGCCCACGGAACAGATCCATCCCAGGATGCTCCAACATCTGAGATGGATTTCATGTCCTTTCGCCAAACCACACTTCTCTTTTGCTTTAGTATCCACTTTACGTGTAATGGTGTCCCCAGCATAGCTGTTCAGTAGAGAGCTAACATAGTTACCATGGGACAGTAGTGGCAGTCACTAGTGGCTCCCCTGGGGTGAGGCAGGACAACCACTGCATCCCAGCCCCTGGCAGGAGAAATGAGCCCTTTCCAACCTTGTGTTTCTTCCTAGCCCAAGAGCTCCTGCAGCGGGAACAAGAGAAGGCTCGAGCCCCGTCCCCGCATGGGAGGTCAACAGTCACCCTGGGGGAGAGCAGGGTGCGGACAGGGTGCTGCCAGCTCTGAGGACCAGCAGCTCTGGACCTGGATGAGGCCTCCAAGAGGAGCAGTGACAAGGCAAGGGGGATGCAGCAGGGCAGGGGCGGCTCAGCCTTGCCACCCTCCCGCTCTGAGAGAGGTCAGAGCCTACCTGACCCCAGCATGGGGGTTCCTCAACTCTGGCACTGCCTTCAAGCAAGAGGTGAAGCACAGGGGTTTCTCCCACCACGTTTCTGCTTCCAGAGAGGAGTGGGACCTCCCAGCACTGCTGCCATCAGCCCCAGCTGGTGCCTTCCCACCCCAGCTGCACTTCACACCTCCATCTGCCTTCCCATCTGAAGTGGGAGAGTTTAACTTCCCAGAGCGGAGCCAGTGCCTCCCAGCAGCTCTGCACCAGGCTGCAAATAAAGAGAACTTTGCCCTAAAGGGGTGGATTTTTGGATTTTCCCCAAACCTGACCTGGATGTCAGCTCACAGGTGGGGAGGTGGCAGCGACTGGAGCTGGTGCTACCCTCACCCTCCCATCCTGGAGTGGGACAGGGGCTGCTTCCCAGCCAAAAGGCATATTTGCTGCCTAAAAGCCCCTACATTGCGGGGGGGAGACAAGATTAACCCTTCCCTCCCCAAACAACCGTAGACCCTCAATGTTGGGCCAGGAGATCCTGGAAACAGAGATCTGCAAACAAAGATCCTGAGGGTCACCTTTCTCTGTGGCCCTTGTCCCCAAAGAAGAGGAGGTCTGGCTTGGGGATACTGCTCATGCAGGAACATCTGGGGACACACAGCACAATGGACATGGCCCAATGTTCTCCCAGGGAGTTTCTGACCCAGGTCATGGAAACGGAGTGTCTGTTTCTGACCCCATCACCATGGAAATGAAGGTGTAGGGGGCATCCATGGGTGCTGGTGTGCTGCGGGGACCTCAGGGGGTGCACTTAGGAAAGGAAGCCCTCTGGGGCTTATATTTAGGGTGGCTTTTGGGAGTATGCCATATAATACAGAGAGCATCTCTGCTGCACTGCACCCCCTGCCAAGGGAGGCTGCAAAGCCATGGCAAGATCAGCAGTTTTTGGTTTCACTGCCTTGTGCTGCATTTCAGAGAGAGAGGAGGGGACACGGGGATGAGAGGAAAAGGGCTTTTATTGCAGGCTCCAGCTCAGGGACTCTGCTCCCCCCGGGGGGGCTGGAGGTGCAGGTGTGGGGGGGCACAAGCTTGTCGATGGCCAGCCCCCCGAGGATGGGTGCCCTCATCCAGTGCCTGCCGCCGCCCAAACCGCCCCACGGGCCTGATCCCACGCCCTGTGTACCAGGAGGGGTCGATGTCCGGGTCTGCAAGGCAAAAGCCAAGGAACAATCAGAGGGGGATGATAGAGGACATGGAGGGAGGACAGGGCATTGCACCCATGTGTGATGGGGCGACAAATGCCAGGGGAGAGGGAAAGGGGTTGAGGGGGATGAAAGAAAACCATTGCTTCTGCACAGGGACACCCGCGGTCCCCAGTGCAGGGAAGACTGGGGGTGCAGAGGGTTCTGGGGGCAGGGGTTGGGTAGGGGGGTCCCTTACTCCTGTTCTCACTGCGGATTTCCATGGAGCGCTCGTGGCGGTGGCTGCAGGTGCCGGGCAGGGTCAGGCAGGCGAGCAGCAGGCACAGCAGGCAGGCGGCCCCCAGCTTCATCCCCAGCACTCTCCGGCCAGCTGTGGCTTGGCGCTGCAGCCTCCCAGTGCCTGGTGCTTCCCGATGATGCCACAAAGATGACAGCCTCCGGCACGGCTGTGGAAGTGAAGGGATTTGGCTTGGTCAGGGCAGCTTGGTCAAAAGCAGGGGGTTTCAGTGGGGTGACAGCTCTGGGGATAACTGCTCCCTGCAAATGTGGGTTGTACAAACCCCAGGATCGTTAAACAGGGTTTTGTCCTAGCTGAGCACCTTGTGCCAGGCCTGGCATCGCTCTTTCCCTCTGGGGCTTCTGGGGAGCCCGTGGGATCCTGCAGCCCAGCAGATGGGGATGGGGCCACCATGAAAATGTAGGTCTGGCAGCACCAAGCAAAGGCTGTACACATGGCTTTTGCTGCTGGATGAACCGTGGCCACCCCTACACCCTTGGCACCAACCCTGCACCCTTGGTACGCACCCCTGGACCTGGCTGCTGGACTGTTAACCTGGGAGCACCCTGTAACATGGCACCAAGGCCATGAGTGTAGAGCAGGTTGAGTGATGGGCTTGATTTCTGCAGCCACCTATGGCAAGGGAGCGGGGCAAGGGGCAGAAGCAGGAGAGCTGTGTTAAGCAGGACAGGGTGGGGACATGCAGCAGCTTTATTTTCAGGGACCCTGTGGCAGGCGGTTGGAACTGGATGATCTTTAGGTCCTTTCCAACCCAAACCATTCTGTGAGTCTATGACCTGCAAAGGAGGAGTTTGCAGCATGCCGGGCAGGAGCCCGTCTGGGCTCCCGAGAGGTCAGGTTTGCTGCAGCCACCAACTTTTTACAGCCCCCTTTTGGGAGCCACTAAGCCAGTTGGACAGACACGGGGACACACACACGCTCAGAGGCAAAGCAGCGCTCGGGAAAGCAGTCAGCACCGAAAGCATCACGAGAGGGAGAGGAAAGCACCGCTCCGCACGCTGAGGCTGCACTTACCGCGGCGAGGCGCTGGCTGCCGTCCCGCTGAGCCGCGCGGTCGCTGTCTGAGCCGGAGTCCTCGCCGGCCGCCGTTTTTATGGCCAGTTTTGTGCTGATGTCAGAGGCGAGCCCTGGCGGGACCGAGCAGGGGCATCTCCCCTCCCCGCCGCCCCTCTCATCGAATCAGCACCGGGAGCTTCGTGACTCAGAAGGGACCAGCATCTCACCTTCCGCCGCCCGAGCCGGAGCGCTGGAGACGTGTTCATCCCTGTCCTTGACCCGCTGCTACTCCAGACAAGGGGGAGGTTTCTGCTCCTCACTCGGTGCCTGCTGCGGGTGCGTCGGTGAGTGATGCTGCCCTGAACTCGCTCCACCACACGAGTCACGCTGGGTGCCACCCCCCTTTCTCCTTCAGTGTCGTCCCCCGCCCCCCCAGGAGGCTGCTTTAGGGAAACTAGAAAATTAAATACAGAGAAGAAGGGAAGGCAACTTGTTGGTGCATACGGGCTGTGGAGACTTCAGACCTCCTCTTGTAAATGGGTTAAACCACCCCATGAAGGAGGTTCTGATGGTGTTTGTTCTTCTGGATACGATGCTGGAGAAGCCAGCTTGGGTCCCCAGCACAGGGGGCTGCTCAGTGCCCAAACACAGGTCCACCCTCAGGCAAAACTGGAATAACTGGGACTACAAGTACCCTGAGACAGGGATGCGTCTGGGTTAGCAGGATGGTGAAGACACCATCACTGGTGAGGTGGGAGCAGGGGGAAGGTCTCGGCTGCCACCCCCCTGCAGGGTAGACATTGCCCTAAGATAGATCTCCATTTCATGCTGCGATCAGCTCTGAGCGCAGCCAGTGCTGGGACAGTCACAGGAGCAAAGCTGGACACAGGGCGACCACTGCAGAGGGACATTAAAGGCAGGGAAAGGGATGAAGAGGAGAACCCATGCCCATCGCACCTGCAGCTCTGTGACCAGCATCTGTCAAGTCATATTGCGATCCTGTTCACCACCCTCTCCCCCTGTTCTGCTTCAGTTCCACCAATTCAGCTTCTTTCTGCTTTCACCTGCCTAGTTTAAAGAGAGGAGTGCACCAGCTAGTTACAGGGGAGGATGGGAAAAGAAAGGAACCTTTGCTTGAGTGAGCTGAAAGAACAGACTGAAAAAGGGGTTCCAGGTTCTGGGAACAAAACTGGCTTTATTGCATGATTTTGCATACATACATATAATCTACACAGGCAGATGGGGCAGGAAACCAGCAAATAACAACATGGGTGACCAAAGCCTGAAAGATGCCTTAGCTTGCCCTGCTGATGCTCACTGCAAGGTCTTCTCAGGGTTAAGCATCTGAGAGTTGTGTGGAAAGACAAGTTATGGATGAAAACAGATACACCACGAGATGCGGATGAGGCAAAGGCTGAACCCTGACAGCAGCAGGGTGGGTGCAAACCCATAGCATTGCAGAGATCTTCATGGAGCTCTCTTCTAGGATGCTAGTCAAGAAGCTGCATCCTGGCACTGAGGCTGGCTGGGCAGCAAGAGGGGCACCCAGTAATGCCACAGAGCCTGGGAGAGTTTCTACAGTGGCAGTAGTTTGCACTGACCCATTTGAATGATTTCACTTAAAAATAAGCAACTGGTTTTGTTTCCAGCTGGGAATCCCAGTCTATGGACTAACAAGACTGCTCTCGGATGACCACAGGACTATTTCTAGGCAGTTAGGAGTCCCTGCTACTGTGAAAGCTAAACAGAAGTGTTATTTGCATGAAAATTCACACTACTGCTCATAATTCAAGTGGGTTTAGTTCATATGCACAGGAACAGCCTAAAACAGTCCAGCCTGCTTAGCCATTGATGGGGAACTGCCAGCACTGCTCTGACATACCTGCTCTGGCTGCAAGTGATCCTTCCAGCATCGCCTGCTTCAGAGGGGAGGGAGGGAGGTGGGGGCTATAAACAGGGACCAGCAGGTACTGAGCAAAGCCTTTTAACAAGAACCTCCTTCAAGTGACCTGCAAAAGAAAGCAGCCCCCTCCCCATCCCGCTGGCACAGGTATGGGGCCAGGCACCGATCCACCAGGATGTGCAGAATTAAATGCTGAGGAGAACAAGCAATTGTGGTGTCTAAGGGAGGGCGCTACCAAACCCACTGTCACCTGCTAGGAGCCCAGGGCCACTGCACCACCCAAAGGCCATCACAGCTCCTCCAAAGGATTGGATGGTCCTGTCAGGTTCTAACAGTTCCATCATCAGGACAGGGGACATCCAAAGTGCCTCTTGGTATGGGCCAATCCCTCTGCAGGGTGGGGAAAGCCTGCAGGGGAGCACCTACACAATCCTTCTGGAGTCCTTCTAAACCTGCCAATACAGCCTTACCTGGACAGAGGATATCTTTGAGCACTGTAAAAACAACTGAACCCCAACCAGGGGAAGGCCTCCAGCCTCTCTTCCACCTTTCTTGCCACCACTTCCCACAAGCCTTGTCCCACTCACATCCTCACATGGTCATGGCTGCTTCAAGCATGGTGGTGTGAAGCCTCAGTGGGTGTTTGCATGGCTTTGTGCAAAGATCTGCTGGCCAAGGGCTCACTGGGAGGGAGCCAGCATTGCTCCCACCCTGCTTTGCTGCTCAGGGAAGGGAGGAGATGCTCCAAGGGACTTTGCAGGGAGCTGGGACCAGCACTGGGATGCAAAATCCAGCCCAGGATGCCTGGGTCTCTGCTCTACCTGAGGTACCCAAGAACATCCTGCACTGTCAGCTCCTGTCCCCACTCAGCACCAGGAGCTGAAGAGCAGGGACATGCACTGACAGCTTTTGACAAGGTGTCATTGCCCCTGGTCCCCATGCTGGGAAGCCACACTGGCATCCAGGTCCCTCTGAGGAGTTCACTCCTCTGCACCTCTCTGGTCCCCTTGGTTAACCTGACACCAAAAAGCAGCCTTAAGCAAAGGTCTCATGCCTGCATCCTCCCATGAGAGCCCCCAGCCATGGGTCTGTACCCCAGTGCCTTGCTCCTCTCCCTGGCAGCTACCAGCAAGACTTCCTGCCCACAACCTCTGGCTCCCCTCCTGTCCAGGGCTTCAGGGAGAGATGAAGATGGGAGAAGGAAGAACAAGTGTTGTGGGGAAGGAAGTGAGGCTTTGTGCTGAGGTCTTGCATCAGTGAAATGCAGTGGCAGGAGGGTCCCCCTCTCCTCAGGACAGGTGGGTCATCACAGGCTTCTGCAAGGCACCAGAGGGAGAAACCTCAGCTCACCACGGTGCCCACACACACACCAGGCAACACTTCTTGCTGCCCCTGTGTGGGGCGAGGACCTGCCCCATCCCATGGAGCCACCCAGGCAGTGGGAACTCAAAGGTTTTGTTTGGTCCCTCTGCCCTGGGGCTTAGGACACTCCAGACCTCATGGGGTGATACCCAGGCATGCCTGCCACCACTGGCCAACACCCAGAGCTGAGGGCTCCACAGGCTCAAGGACAACATGGGAGAGACAGATTGCACTAAGTCCCATGTGGGCCCCAGCCAGCAGCCCTCCTGGGTGGCTTGGTTCGTACCGCAAAGAGCCTCTCCACTCTCCTGTTCTTCCCGTTGGGGTTTCTCTGCGTCAGGGAGCCGCGGTAAACAGAGTTGCGGTCAAAGGAGTCATCAAGACCTGTAGTGAGAAGAGAGGTGGGCAGCAGGTCCTCACCCACCTCAGAGAGGCTTCTGTTACCCACCAAGTCACTGGGGTTTTACTATCCCCTGTTGGCTGGGGCTTTGTGTGTTTCATTGCACTTCCCTTTCCAGGAGGGTGGGGGGAAGCACTTTCACAACAAGGAAAGAGAAGCTGCTGCTATAGAGGTTCCCAGAGCATCGTGAGCTGGGCCAGCCTGCCAGTGCTCAGCTGCCAAACCCTCTGCTCTGGAATCCTCCATGGACTGGCCAAAGCCCAGCACACATGGAGCTCTCACCACTCAGACCTCTCTTGACCTACCAAGTGTTTTCTCTGACACCAACTTGCTCCAGCTGCACTTTTGCAAACCCAACTTTGCAAGTCACTGACCCACAGAGAGGGTGCTCAGGAGACGGAATCTCCCGATTGCCCAGTCCAGGCAGAGGCGATTAGGTTTGCCTGGTGACATCCATCCTATTTGCACATCTCTCTATCTCCTTGTGGGGCTGACATGTCACCCAGGCTGCCTTTATCTGCCTGTCCTTTGCAGGAAGGAGAGCGGATGACTCCTCTTCAGCTTGAGAAGAATGGACCTTTCCACCTACCATCCTCAGCCTGGGAAATAGCACTGTTAATTGTCTGCATGCGTAGGGAAAACAGGATTCATCCTCTGCATTAAAGGATCTTTCCTCCTTTCATCTTCCATTACCTGGAAAGAGACCCACTCTTTCTGTCTTTATGCTTATGAGGTGAAATAAGAGAGAAAAAGAAAAGTCATTTCCTCGTGGGTCTCATTGATATGGGTCAGGATGAAACGCTTCCAGTGGCTGCCCCTCACCACACAAGCTGTTGTGCCAAGTTTCAGGTCACCGACTGCTCTGAAGCATTCCCAAGCTGCTGTTTGTCATAGGTGGGATGTGGAGGGTCTCTTGCCCCCACCAGACACCAATGGATGAGCCAGCTGGATAATAGGGTCAAGGATATCTTCTCCGATATGACCAAGCAAGGAAGAAATTGTTATCAGAATAGGTGATGGGCTTAGGTGAGGCTTTGAGATCTTACAGCCAATGGGATGCCACAGGTAAAATCCCCCTGGACTCTGGGGTGGCAGAGGCCAGGCTGTATACAAAGTCCTGGCTCCTGGAGGACTGAGCCAACTCAGCCTGGCCTCCGCTCTCCTATCACCATCCCCATCCCCATCCTGACAGTTCCTGCCTCCTTTCTAAATGGTCCACCACAGGTTCCCTCTCTCCTAGCAGGAGGCCATGAACACAGGGAAGAGGATTCTCCAGTGCAGGGGGATGCAGAGAGAGAGGACAGAGTGTCCCCCCAAACCCAGCCCCATCCACCCACAGTTCCCCAGCTCCCATGGCAGATCCTCTGTCCTTACCAGGAAGGTCTAGGGGACTGTTGAACTTCCTCCTGAACCCCTGCAGTCCAGGCATTGCCTGCAAGAGATGGGGAGCAGCCTGCTGTGGGCAATGGGATGGGAAGACAGAGGCCCCCTCTGAGGCCACTGCTTTGAAAGCAGCTTCCTGGACACCCCAGGTGTCTCCAGGCTGGATGCTGAGCTGCACGCACCACTAAACGTGTACTCACTTTAATGTCATCCGAAGACTCCCCGGGACTGCTGCTGGTGGCACCAGAAGAGTGGAGGCAGGCAGCCTGTGGACAGAGAAAGGCAGGGGTTTCTCTCTGTGTGCAGGGAGAAGACAACTTTGTCTGCTTTCCTTTGCATTTTCACGTCTTTTATTTAGACTGGGCTGATGCCAAGGTAAGCAAAAGAGGCAGTGCACTGCTGTGGTCCTGTGTGCCCTCCAGCAGTCCTAGACACAAAATCCTCCCTTGATGTATACAGGGAATCTGTTGTCCCCATCCTTACTGAGACATCTGCTCTCGGAGCCTTGGGGCAGAGAACCACGCAGCGGGAGGGAGCTGGGCACAGCAAGCCAGGCGGCCCCTCACCGTGCCCAGTGGCAGCAGCAATCTGTGCATCACAGGGCTGGGATCTCTCACACACCCCCTCCATGCTCACCTGCCCATTCGACTTCTTCCTTGCCTTCTCCACTGACTTCACTGTGAGCCCCGCAGCTGACAGAGCCGCGATCCGAGATTCAATGTCTGAAACCTTTAGAAGGAAAAAGACCATACAGAGGCTGGTTCCACCCCCGGCTTCATTTGCTGTCACTGGCTGGGCAAAGCAGCTCTCAGCCACGTCCTCACCTCATTCTCTGCCTGTTGCACCTGAGCAGCTGCTGAGGCCACTTTATCCTCCAGCTCTGACAGCTCCGAGTCAGTCGTACCACTGTGCTGAGCCCCTTCTTCGAGCTCTTTCAGGGTGCTCTCAAGCCGGAAGGTCTTCCCAGCAGTCAGATACACCTGAAAGGGAAAAAACCAAACCAAATCCACACACATTGCAGCATTAACCTCCCTGGAGCTCTCAGTGTCTCTGCAGCCCCAGACACAACAGCTCCTGCCACTACTTTATGGCTGCTTTCTTGCCTTGCAGCACAGGCCATACCAGCCAGCTCTGGCAGGGTTTTTCATCTCATTTCCTCCCTTCCACAGGCTTTTTGAGAGCAATTATTAACCCAGCAAAGTGGTAAAATGCTCAATGAACAGAGGAAGGACCAAAACTCGGTGACCTACTCAAGAAGCATCAGCATCTTTATGCCATCTGCTCAGAGGGGAGGCAGGCACCTGCAAACCAGTGCAGGCTGCCACGTCCCGTGGTGTCAGCAGGCTGGGAAGTTGATACACTGACATTCCACATCCACTCAGTCTGTGCTGCTGGGTTGGCTGGGAGTGGGGTCAGGGTGTGGGAGCTTGACCCTGGGCTGTTAACCGACCTGCAAAGGGCAGTTTGGCTCAGGAGCTGCTCCAAATACACAGGAATGGTCCCAGCAAAGCCCCAGCAACATGCATGCAAACGGAGCTCAGGAGCCATGGGGCTGCTGACTCAGGATGCATGGTGCATGGGAAGCAATGGGCTACCTTTGCTGCCTAGGTAAAAAGGGCAAAAGGACCTATCTCAATAAAACCACAGGCTTTGTTGTCACTTGCCTCCTCCTGGGCTACTACAAGGATGCAAGTCCAAGAAACGTTTGTATGCAGTCACATAAGATGATCAGATGGGTTGTGGCCACTGTTTTGCTGACTGAATCCTAAATCTTAGTATTGCCAGTGCAAGTCCTGCTCCTCCAACCCTCACTGCTTTTCCTGGGCCAGGTATTGCTCAAGACTGCCTGGCAGGAGCTCCTGGTATACCCTGAAATACCAAGTATCCAACCCAACTCACACCACTCTGTCCCATAGGTCTCTCCCATGGCAGTGCAAGCCCTGAGGCCATAACAGATTGGAGACATTTATGGGTGCTGTTTGTGAAGCAGCTCAACCTGTGAGTCACAGGGACACAATTTGTTGTTGAGCCATCAGACTCTCCCCGTGCCCTCTGAGGTGGCATGGTCCAGGAGCAGAGCATCAAGCTGTGACTCAGCCAGGGCCAGGAGGGAATGGCAGGCTGAGCATGCACCCCCCAGGGCCATCTCTACCCATCTCCTTGTCCCAGACCTGCCACTGACAGCACTAAGTCCATAGATCACATCCTTCCCAGCCCTGTCCCCTCTTCTGGGAGAGGGGGAACGTCAGACCCTTCATGCAGACACCCCTCTTTCCCTGGGATGCTGCATTTGGCCAGAAACCAGTTTCTGAGCACACTCTGCTGCCAGCAGCTCACCGCTTTTATGTATAAGCTTTCCTCAATAAGAGAGGAGCCACAGTGTGTTATAAAACCTGGCTCCCCAGGATGTTTTTGACAGCGAAACCTGACCACCCATGGAGATGCAACTCTTTGCCCATCCTTGAACTATTTCTTTGGATCCTGGCAAAAGGCACACGGTTCCCCATTTTCACAGGGAATTGATTCATATGGGTTTGCCATAGCTAATTGTTGGTGCTTCAGTGCCACACAAACCCAGCAGGAGATTGGGCTCTATATGTGAACTTATCACCTGCATGAGCCCTTCAGCTCTGGACACAAGTCAGCATTAGCAAACAGGTAGGGCATGCTATCCCTGTTCATGCAAGCCTTGTTAAAATGCAGTGCTTGGCAGGAGCCAAAGTGAAGCAGGACAAAAGATTCTGCTGCAGCTGGAGTACAGGGCTGCAGAATCCTGCAAAGCAGCACTACAGCAAACTGAGGACTGCACTCATCCTCCCTCCCTGGCACTCAGCCGGGGAAACCAGGAGCCGAGGCACAAGGGAAGCAACAAGACAGAGCATCTGCACTTGCTATTGTGCCACCCCCCTTGTAAGAGAGCCCTGGCCACCATCAGGCAAGAGTGGACTCAAACCCCTGTGTCGTGCCCATCCTTTTAGCACTGGCCTACCCACTAGTAGACAACTTCGGGGGTTTTCCTCCGTATTCCCCCCTCCCTGCTTGCAGAAACCTCTCATGAACTCCAGAACCTTACATTTTCTTCAAGCTCACGGTATGCTTCGGCCACCTCCTTCCCATCACCCAGGCTGGGAGGATGCCCTGCGGGGAGGACACAGCCACCGTTGCACTGCCTCTCTCCATGCAACAACTCACACACCGCTTGCTCCGTGGCGTTTATGGTTCTCAGCACTTTGACCGTGATTTCGCCCAAAGCCTGAGCTGATGACCTCTGTGAGCGCCAGGTACAGCCAGAGCGGGGGGGGGGGGACAGGGAGAGAAATAAGGACATTATTTTAACGTGGTGTGCAAAACCGAGCAAGTCGGGCATCAGACCTTCAGGAGCTGTAGAAAGATGGAGAAGTAATAATTAAAGGGCTTACGCTGCTCCTGAAGGGCTTCCCACTGGAAATGGATGCCTGGCTAAAGCAGAGGCTTGTTCTCAGCCCGTGCTTGCTGGAGGATGGCTGTGACAGAAGAAGTCATCTCAAAAGTCTTGGAAAAGAGGTTATCGGGGGATATGTCCCTCACCACTGCTGTCTGACAGCAGCAGCACTCGGCCACCTGAAGGCCACTCAGTTACTCAGCAGATAAGATCTAATTGCAGCATATTGCTTTCCACTTCAGCATGGGTGCAAGTAACTCCAATAACTCCTGGAGTTTGTGGCAAAGGTAAAAAAGAACAACTATATTGTATTGCCACACTGCCAGAACTTGGGACTAACGCCCCCTCTGCCCACCCCAAGGAGCACTGATGGCAGTAATGCCCCTAAGTGCTGCCTTTTGCTTGCTAAGGCATTAAGAAAATGTAAAAACAGACTGAAGAAACTCACGATCTCTCTCTCAACTGATAATTCCCTAGAAACCAAGGAGATGGGATGATACACGCCCTGGCAATGAATAGTGGTGTTTACAACCGCATGTATTTCCAGGCAGGCTGTCCCTCAGAGAACCAGCTTGCTCAGCACAGCTGGTATTTTTATCACTTTATGGTCCTTCGTGGCACAGCTGAGTTTTTCACATTTTCCATTAGGACCATGTGCTTTCATTGCCGTGCTCCCCACTTTGATGACTTCCTCCTGACTGGGGAGGAGACTCACATAAACCCAGACTCAGAATCATACAAAATCCAAGCCTGGATCTATTATAAGGAAAGTTGCTGTTAAAATCACATCCATGCTGACACAGCCTTTAAGCAAGGCTGGTTCATCTACATCACTGCTGGCATTTCTAAAGTATTTTCAGTGTTACAATGAAGCAAAAACCTGAATTTTGTTTAATTTCTCAGATTTGATTCCACTTGAGTTGTTGCAACCCAGCTGGGGTCCTCTTTGCTTAGGAGCTGTCATATATAGCTCCTGTGTTACCTACCTGCCTAGACTCCATAACCATGCCTGTATCTTCCATGTTTCATAGATGGGCTTTGGTCAAAGAAAGTAGCAAATCTGGAGAATCCAGGCTTCATTTTACAAGAATCAAGAAGCTTACACAGATACCCCACTAACATCTCCCTATTCCTCATTGCAGGTCAGGGTGAAACTCCATCTGCTGCAGATCAGCAGCTCACTCAAGAATTAACTTCTCTTGGCTTACCACTTAAGAATTAAGTTATCTTGGTTACCACTTATCTCCTGTGCTGCATCTAATTGGAAATGGCTACTAAGAAGATGCGCATTGTTCAACACATGAGGAGTAGCTAAATCTGGCTGCAGCAATCACCTAAAAGCAGCTGTCAGGAAAAAGGGGGCATTCAAGGAGGTTTCTCAGTAAGGATTCAGTGCACTGGTGATCCAGTGGCAGAAAGAAAACAGCAAATGGTACCAAAACCACGAGGTAAGCCATCCTGGGAACAACTGCTTGCTCTGATCCTGAGATTTTACAGAGAGCTGTGCAAAGACTCAGAGAACGGTTTGGGTTGGAAAGGACCATTAGGTCATGCAGTTCCAATCCCCTGCCACAGAAGGGGTATCTTCCACTGGGCTAGGTTGCTCCAAGCCCCATCCAGCCTGGCCGTGAACACTGCCAGGGATGGAGCATTCACAGCTTCTCTGGGCACCCTGTGCCAGCGCCTCAGCACCCTCACAGGGAAGAGCTTCTGCCTGATCTCCAGCCTGAACTTCCCCTGTTTCAGTTTGAACCCATCACCCCTTGTCTTCTCACTACAGTCCCTGATGAAGAGTCCCTCTCCAGCATCCTTGTAGCCCCCTTCAGACACTGCAAGCTGCTCTGAGGTCTCCAGCATACCTGACACAGACTCACTGAATGCACAAAGTGTGTACACGCAGCCGCACGTCCAAGCGGCCAGGTTTTGCCAAGTGAGGCTGAGGAACAAAAGCCCATTAAAGAGAGGCCTTGTGGCACCATGGAGGTCTCTGCAACCTCAGATGAAAGGAGCTTTGCAGGAGGAGAGGGGTAGCACTCCGGTGACGGATGTGGAAGAGCAAACACACAAATCCTCCACCCACGGCCAAGGCAGAAGGGAGGGATGAACAAATAAGCCATTAGAGACCTAACGAGAAACACTGACCTCTCCTTTTTGTGCTAATGGACCATCTCAGGAGGCTCTACACAGCTAGAGAGACGCAAATCTCCCTTTCTGAGTCACCTGGGCTGGATGGGTTGCTCATCCCCAGGGCTGTCACCCATCCTCACCACACACTGGGTGAGGCGAGGGCGAAGCTAACCAGGCCCTCTGTCTGCTCATGCTCTCAGGCCATGGAAGCAATTCCCCATGTGAAACTACACACAAATGAATGCCTGTCCAGCCATGCTGCAGGGATATGCAGGGGAAAGCAGACCTCCAAAACGCAGACAGCAAGTAGGGGGATAAATCAGAGCTACGCTGGGCCATGGGAGTGATGGATCCTGTGGTGTAATGTGAATGGGACTGGATGAAAGCAGTGATCCCTCCTCTTCTCCCTGGCCATGTCCCCAAAGATCACCCACCGTACAGGGGACAGGAGCCAGCACACTGCTAAAGTACAGGAGATGCTGATCTAGCTGGGAGGAAGCAGGACCAGGGCTATGGGGCCTCAGGTGCAGTGAGGCCTGGAAGAGACATTTCATGTTGTAGCAGGTGCCTGACAAAGGCTACCAGTACTAAATGACCAAGCTCTTCTCCCACCCCAGGACTCTCTTCTCCACAATGATATCCAGATCCTGAGACAGCTCTTCTAAACAGATGTGGAGGTTGTGTACCTCTCCAGGGTAGGTAGCAGCCTGCAAGACCTCTAAGAGACTTTACTTTTGACTCTTGGATGAGACTGGGAGGGACTAGAGAGCAGTGAAAGGTCCAGATCCAACACCCTAGCACTGCTCTATCCCTTGACACTTCGTTAAAGCAGACAGCTAAGCCATACACACCACAGCCCTGGGAGGCATTGAGGTGAGATGTGGGACAGAAGAGTTGCATTATCACGGTGTAAACCATAAACCACTAAAAGCAGAAGGAACCACAGATGGAGCCTAGAATGGTGTGGGTGGGAGGACACAGATTACCTTTCGAGCATCTCTGGTCATGTCATCACAGGAGGGACTCATCTCTGGTTTCTTTGCTCTCTTCTTTTCTTCACGATCCTCTTCTTCAGTAGAGACTTCCTTGTCACTGATATTACTGGCTAACTCCTCCAGCTTCCTCTTCAACTCCTCCTCCTCTGCATCAGGATCAAGCTGGGAGTCTGGGGCTGGAGACTGAGGGAGCAGAAGAAGGGAGGTGGATAAGGGTCTCCTGTGTCGGACAATGGGGCATGCCCAGGTCCGGATGCACTCCCCATGGCTGGCCAGGAGAGGAACGCAAGGAGTGCAGCCATTGATGGACTTTACAAATGGAGCTGTGTCCCAGCTCCATGCTGAGGAGCACAAATCCTTGATCTGAAGGAAATTCCCCACCCCCTCCCCAACTTACTTGTTTTTCCCTGTGTAAAATGGCATTTGCCAGCTCCCCCCACCCCCTCAAAAAACAAGATGTACCCAGGAGATCTGGGGCCCAAAATCTCCAGGTTTTCATCAGGAATCATGATGTGGCTGGTGGCTGCAAGGGTAGAGGTCACAGCAACCCAAAAACATGGTCCACCAGGGTGAGGGATGAAGCCATGTGAACTGCTGCTCCCCGATGTAGCTTTGAGAGCCTTTAAGTAATCTTATTTGTCATGAGAACACATGCAGAAAACTTTCCTGTAGGACAGATGGCACAGTTCCACCCAGCCCTGTTATTAGGTGCAATTCCTGGTACCAGGAGAAGAATCCTATTAAACCTCCAGACGCTGTAAGGGATCTCTAGAAGTTACTGAACTTGCTGTCCCTTGCATTAAGACAGGAATACAATTATCCATGTGATCCTGATGGGTTTTTGTCTAAGCTGCTCTTACCCATCTTGAACAATTGCATCTGCAGCAGGCAATCTTTCTCCCAGGCAACCTACTCTCAGGCTCTGCTATCCTTTCTGTTAGAAAGCTTTGCTTTATAGTTAACCTCAACCTCTCCTGCAGCAGTTTAGACCCATTGTCTCTACTCTGATATGCCCTAGACATGGAAATAAAGCACAGGCACATGCAAAGGTGCACATCTCCTACTCCTTCAGTCAGATTTACTGACAGAAACACTGCAAACATGGCCATGCCCATCACAGACTTTAGTATAAAGAAGAAATTGATCTGTTTCATCTATCTCTAGGGGACTTCTCTGTAATTATCATTGTCTATTCTATTGAGCCATCACCTGCCAGAGCAGCTCATGGTGATGGCTTCACACAAAGGAAGAGTACATAGTTTAAAATTAGAAACCCCAGATCAATGTTAAATGACCTCAGGATTCACAGATTCTACACTGCTGCCCAGCTGTAACTTAATTTAGCTGTTTTCGTCCAAACTTGATGGCATGGTAAGACAAGGGCAACTCAGAAGAGATTCAGAAATCCTTCTTGACTCAGATCTCATTGACAATTACCAGGTGACTTCCTCATACGTCCTAATTGAGTCTCCCATGATTTCAAATGAGCTGTCACAGCTCTGCGGATGTACCAACACCCACTTGACAATACTCCTGCAATCAGCATTACATAGAGTACCAGCCTGAAACCCAATCTTCCTTGTGCAGAATGGGCAAGGAAGGCAATAGCTTGCACAGGGGCCTAAAGGTTAAGCTTGCTTCTGATTCTGTCCTGCCATGCAATGTTTTCTAAGGCACTCCATCACCTGGAACTATAGAAGGGCCTCCAAAGCCAACCCAGGATTAAACTCAACCAACCTGGGTCATTTAGTCTACCTTCTTTCTCCCTGCAATGCTGGCTGTTTCAGAGAAGCCTCTTCAATGATAAGGGGAAGGGCCCAGCACAGCCCATGCTCTCTCCCTGCAGAGTGCCCTGGCTTTGCCCGGTTACCTCCTCAGAGCTCACCAGGATCTTTTCCTCCAAGCGGTTCAGCACACGTTCGATTGCAGACATGCGTTTGTTGAGCTCATGGATCTAGAGGAAAGGAGAGATAGAGCAGAGGAGTAGAGAACAGCCCAGCCACCACTGCCAGCAGTGAGGAAACAGTGCAACCAGCAGACGCAAGCAAGCAGCAAGACACAGCCACCGTGGGCTGAGCTAAAAGGCATTAACAGTTGCTGTCTTTAAAACCAGTCCCTGCTACACTGATGAGCCCCAGGAGGTGCACAGCCTCCCCTCACATCTGGAAAGCTCAAAGTGATGCTAAGTACCCAGCACATCTCAGTCCCACCAAAGCATTGATAGCTTTGATTCAGTGAACATAAAACCACACCACTGGCCCACTGTGTCCCTTGTCCAGGCAAAAGCATCAGGCTGTAACAAAGCCATCTATTCTGCCATCATTCACACGCTCTCCCAAATTCAAGTCAACACAACCTTCACTCCCCACTAACACTTTCTTCAGGCAGCTACTACCTCATCACCCCCTGGCCAATACAGCACTGGGAAGGAAGAGGGAATAGGTAAAAAATTCCCATAGAAATTCCAGGTAGAAATAATAACCCTGCAAGCTTTCCCAGCACACTGCAATTTTCCAACTTTTCCATGCATGGGTTTACAGAGATGCTTGTCTCTCTCTCCTCCCTTGCTCTTCCCATGAAGAAAGGGGCATGGAGAGAAAAGCAGGGAAGAGAACAGACAAAACCCTGAAAACCAAAAAGCACAAGAGCCAAGACAAACTGTTGTGGTTAAACCACTGAAAACATCAAAGAAAGCTTTTTCCTCCCTTTTAGAAGTGGAAGTTTTGATTTCTTTGGGGAAAAAACAATAAATATCTTTCTTCTTTGATCCAAACAAATAAATTACAAATGATGAGGAATACTGCCCATCTTTTAACACGAACTCCCACATCACTGCTGTCCTGAGTGCCTGCCTCCCACTGAAGCAAATGCAGTAACAAAGAGATGCGAGGGCTTGGCTTTGTTTTTGTAACATTTCCATCCTCTCACCCAGTTTTTGTGCTTGTGTTTGATTAACTAGATCCTCACAACAGCTTGGAGAGATCACATCTGCTTTAGGGAAGATGAACATAAACCCCTGACACTCTGGAGAGCAGAATGCTGTAATTACCATCCCTAACTGAATGCATCTTTAAGCAGCATTAAACCCACATGCAGGAAGCAACCCAATCTGTCTCTAAGTGGTTTCTCAGTACCGTTTAAGGCCTGACTCTTGCTTTGCTCCCAGCGGCAATGAGCGATGATCTGAACACAGGCACTACTCTGTCTCCATAATGCAGAGGCTGGGAGAGGTCAGAACCTAATACATGTTCTGCTGTTGATGGGCTACAAGGGTAGGAGCTTGCTTTTGTTCTCCCTCCTAAGTAAGGCTGGTTTTAATGCATGGTGGTCACCCTGTTAGTGCGCATCCCCATTGGGCTGGGCTGCCCTGCACTGTGTGACAAAGGCTTGCAAATGCTGCTCTGTAGTCAAACAGTTGAAGTGAAGAAACTTAATCCAGGGCCCATAAGGAAGCCATCAGGGCAAACTATCACTTGCTGCTGAGGAGGGAAGACAGGCTACTCCAGCAGAGGTGCTGCCTCCAGTCTCTCAAATACCCAAGACCTCGAGCAGAAGCTTAGTGTAAAGAAAAGGAGCCAGACAGCACCAAAGCTTTGGGAATCCACAACCACTGAGCTCCCTTGAGGTACAGCAGAGGGATTTTCAGGGAGGAACTGGGTAAATTGTCTTCATTCCTTGTGCCTTGACCCTGTTCTTACCTGGCTGCTAAAGACCTAAAAGCAGAGACCTACCTACACAGTTGCCAATTCAGGGCTTCTCTTCATGTCCTGTCAGATTTAAGAGCTTTCTTAAATAGTGGTGGGGTTTTTTTTGACGTTGTTCTGGCACCTTGAGCTCACAGGGCCAGGGAGCAGTCTCTGCCTTTGTTACTGGAGAAGCTGTGCTCCTTGTTTGGGACTGGACAATATATCTGCTCCAGGATGAAAGCAAAAGCAATTTTCAGACCAAACAGATTTTGACAAACTTGCACCTAATGCAGTTTTAAGAGAGGGTTTTCATCTGTGGGGTCAAAGTGATGCAGGACAAAGAGCTGAGCTCCTCACCTCTTGGAACCTTCAGATGCCAATAAGGTGTCTACCAGGAAAACATTGCTTTTGAAGCACAGCCATGGGATTCAATAAAGGGTTAACAGGAGTTAACAAACATGCTTCTGGACCCTATACCCTACAAGCCAGCATCTTGAATTGCCACAGGGCACAGCCTCTGAGAAGTGCAGCACCAGGGTGACCAGTCGTACTCAGCCACCCTTAACTGTCCCCTGGGATGTCCCATCAGGGGCTGGCATACCCCTGGGAAGTGCCTGTAAGCAATTCAAAAGCCATCACTTCACTGCTCAGACGAATGCAGTTGCTCCTTGCTGTCCCCAATCCCTCCTGGTCTGCCTTTGCCCTCCTGCCAGCGTCAGCACCAGGGGACGGATCCCAGTCTCTTCTGAACCTCTTCCAGCTCTGCTGATACCACAGAGCTGTCCAGCACTGAAACCTGGATGTTCTTGCCTTCTTGCTTCTTAGGGCTTGTACCTGGCTTCCCCTTGGCCAACAGTGACAGCAATGCACGTATGCATCATGCTGAAGTTAATGGCCCAGCACAGAGGCAGGTCTCTTCCTGCTGGGCAAGGAGAAGGCTCAGAGGATGGTTGCTAGCTGTAAACACATCAGCAGCACAAAGGGCAGGAAGGATGAAAGGCTATTTAAGCTAATGAACAATGTTGGCATAAGAGAAAATGGGCTTAAATTGGGAGTGAGAAGACGTCTTGTAACCATTAGAGTTATGAGGCTCCACAGCAGCCTTAGTGCTGGTGTGATGGAGCAAACCACCGGATCACACCAGACCACCCTGAGGAGGAGCTTGCCCAGCTGACAGAGGAAGTTACCTGAAGCATTGGCAGGAATTTGACCCCATTTCCCCACTGCAAAGCATGGTGTGAATTTCATGCCTAATGTACCATGGTGTCATTAAGGATACCCAGTCCAGGGCTCTCCCATTTACTGCTGACTAAAAAAGGAATGACACTTGCTGATTAAAGGATGTGCTGAGAGAAGTAAAAGACAAAGGAAAGGTTTCCCTACACAGGCAGATGAAGTGTTGCTTAGTGACAGCTGTGGTTACAGATCTCCCCGCTCAATACACAAAGAGGGGTCCAGGATGTGCAAAATCACTGCTATGACCAGAGACCGGCGATGGCTCTCTGTGTGCATCTGCATTCAAACACCACCCTGCATTTTGCTGCTCAAGGTCTGAGGAATGCTTAACCATCTCTCACCACCCACTACCATTCACAAAGGTGGCATCAGGAACTACAGAAGCTTACAGACTTTTTGACACCCTTCTCTAGACTGCTCCCCCTATTATCATCATTCAGAAGACTAATGTGACAGGTTCTCCTGACCCAGTCCTATCAGGGCAGGAACACTACTCCTTGCAAAGGAAGAACAGGATCTTGATGCTTATCAAATATCCTTCTCCAAACCTCTGCTGATCATAAAGCACCATTCAATTAAAGAAAGCCTTTTTTGGGGACACAGGAAACTAAAGGTAACTTGCAGAGTAATAAGGACAAGCTGAAAAATTAACAGGAATGAAGGAAGGCTCCAGGCACCATGGGCAGAATGAAGCACAAAACAGTGCCTGATTTTCTCTTTGCCATGACCGCCTAAGTGGAAGGGCTGGAAGGAGAACATGGGAGGTGAAGCACAGAGCTCCAGGGTACTTCTGAAGAGGAGAGATCTTGAGTCTACAGAGACCTGGGACCCACTCTGCTCCCTCTTGGACCTGCACATGTGATGCTTGGGTACCAAACCATCCCTGCGCAGAAGGGGCGGGGGCTGTGTGGATACTGAGGGTACTCCAGCTTTTCTGCTCATGCTGCATATCCATGCTGGATGGGAGCTTACCATGGGTGCACACCAGTTTGCCATCACTGCTTCTTTTCTCCTCTGAACCATCCTGCACCTTGCAGATAACAAGCACTGTTCATGGCAAAGGAAGCTTGGCCACAGGCTGATTCAATGGGTGTTTGGTACCTGGCTCCCAGAGTGGCTGGCATTCTCCTGGGAAGATGCTCTGTTACGTCGCTTCATGTGATGAGGGGGGTAGGCTGGGAACTGGGCTTCCTTCATGTCCTCATCAGAGGTGTCCATATCTGCAGAGTACCGGGACCGGAGCTGCTCGCTCCAGGGGCTGCCTTTGGAGAGAGAAGAGGAGGCTTCAGCACAAAGTTACAGCAAACTCATACCCTTGAGTTCCTTCCTGGAAATTGGCCCCAGCTGTAAACAAGCAAATAACAAGGCACTTCTCCAGATCACACCTTGAATGCTTCAGCAGGAAATGCTTCTGTGGGAGACACCAAGGTCAAGGATGGCTATGCTAGACCAGGCTGTAGTTCCACTCGCTGCAGCCACACAGCACTGCTAAGTTAGCAGTAGGCACAAAGGGGATTGTCCTTGCTCTCTCATGCCCCAGGCAATCATGTCCATCAGTAAAAACTGCTACTGCCCTCCCAGTTTTGTTGGAGCCCAGGTTTGGACACTGCCCTTGATACACTGAGTAGTGGAAGATGTTTAGTTCAGGCTAGAGGTACCAGTCTAGGATGGAGCTTTTAAAAGAGTGGAAAGTCTTATTCTTAAAGGAGAATTTCAAATGAGACAAAACCAATGACATAAAATGGAATGAACAAGCCAATGGGCCCTGCTGCTGCTGTGTCGCTCCAGTGGGGCTTGGAGTGGACACTTACAAAGCACGCAGTAAGGTTTACTCAGCATTTCCTACTCCCTTGAAAATAAAACAGAGTCACTGGAGACCCAGAAGGATATATCCTTGTGCTGCACATGCACAAGCCAGTATCCAGCCTTTCTGGGTCTGCTGTCACAGCAGGGAAAGGCAAATTTGTTATCTGCTAGGGTATTTCATTCAGCCTGACAGTACACCCTGCCCAGCTACACAGATGCTACTTAGCAATTCCCAGTGCTTGCCACCAGTTGCTTTGCAGCCTCACTACAGCTCAAGTCCCCTTAAGACTACATTTTCTGCACCTACACCATCCTTTGGCAAGAAGCTGAACTCATCAGCTGCTGCCTGCAGGAGGAAACATCTCATTGTTTCTAATAGTGTCCATTTGATTATATCTAATTTCTACCCCGGACAAGAGCAGTGGCTGTGAGAAGGACACCTTAAGCAAGGCCCCTCTGACTTGGTGAAATGAGCTTGTTGGGAGCAAGACATGTGTTCTCATTACAAATTGCTTCAGCCACAACATATTTGGTCACAAGGTTTTTTGTGGCTTGGAGGTTTTGGGTATTTTAACAACATCAAGGACATTTTCATTTTGTTCCACCTCTTGCAGCCACTTGTCCTCAAAGGACCCAGGAGAAGCCTGTCCAGGGACACCTACCAGGTCTGGCATTTCTTTCCAGGCTCCTTCTCCGGGAGTTGACGGTGAGCCGAACCTCTGTGCTGAAGTGTTGCTCTGGAGGGATCCTGCCTAGTCCCTGCTCCTGCAAGATGTGGTGGAAGACCAGATCCGCATCTGTGATTCTGGACTCCTGGGAGGCATCTTCAGCTGGGTTGGGGAAATCTGGGAAAGACTGAGATGAGGATTGCTGATGAGCAGCTGCCTGGGAGGACTGCTTCCCTCTCCTGACCTTCGATAACCGCTCCTCCCTTTGTCCTCCAACACCTGCATGTATTGAGCTTTTATAATGGCCTTGCTAATAACCCAGTTTAAAGACTGATTCCCTTTGCTGATGAGCCCTGAGCAATTCTCCTCATCACTGCCAGGGGGCACTGTGAAGCTTTACAAGCGCTAGATACATCCGGGCTGCAAAAGCTCTGGTCTTTCGAAGCTCAATGTCCATATTCAATCACCCCTGCCCCTCAAATACTCTGCAACTGATAAATGTGATCCAGATGATCTTGGCAGAGCCCAGCCCTCCTTAGACTCACATTGATTTTGCTACATAAAGACAGGATTACACAAAGAAAGAGTGAATCTAATTGTATGCCCCAAATTCTTATCAAATTGTGTGGAACTGTGCGGATTGCTTTTCTTTTTAAAGCCTGTGTTATGCATCTCAGCACATCCCAGTAGAGTGTAAAGCATTACAGCATCATGAGAAGGAAGAAAGAGCTCTATAACATTTTAAAAGTGAAATTTCAACAGGAAAGGGAAACAGAAGCAGCCCCAAAAGCTTGATCTGAAGCACCTCAGGCTGGAAGACCTTTTGCCACATGCAGGGCAGCCCTGTCTGTGTTCCTCTCAGAGCTGGAAGGTGGGGATGCTGACCCCCAGCCCTTGTGGGATCCTGGGGTGCAGCTTACTGCTGTTGCTCATGCTGGAGCTGTCTGTGTATCCTGCTCCTGGTGAGGAGCTCCTGAGACACACATGAAGTCTCCTACAGAGAAATAATCACTATTCACAAAGCTTTTGCTCTCCCCTCTGACTGAGTCCCCCACCCTGCAGGTGCCATCACTGCAGTCACACTGGCTCTGTGGGATTTATCTCCTCAGTCCCATAAAAGTTGTGTGCCGCAGGAAACTGCTGGCCAAATACATCCCCAGTGCCACCGCATGGCAAAACCAGCCCCGAACTGGATAGGATGATGGCAGAAGAGTCTGGTTTCATTTTATCCCTTGAGTGAAATCATAGAATGATTTGGGCTGAAATGGATCTTAAAGATCATGCGGTTCCAACACCCCTGCCATGGGCAGGGAGACTGTTTAGTAGACCACGTTGCTCCAAGCCCCATCCAACCTGGCCAAACTTCCTCACCTTTAATGCAAGCATGAAACAAACTCCCCAACATCTCTACAACCCAGAATACTGAACCTCCAAAAGCTCGCTGGAAACCGGGGTGTCACAGCCTTGGGATAACACAAGGAAAAGCATTGTCTGCAGGGAGCAAAGAAATCTGCAGGGAAAAGGCCAGAAAACCTTCTATCTCATCTTACCCTCATCCTTGGCTCAGTCAGATGTTCTACTCCTGACTCAGCCTGAGGCAAATGACTTCAAAATGGACAAAGAGAGAGCTATGGGGAGCAGGGACTGGCACCACTGCCTCTCAACACCAGCTGAAGAAGGGGATAGCAGAGGTAGCAAGAAGAAAGAAGAGATGAAAGGAAACCCCCAGCACTCTCCCAGTACCTGGAAAGCATCCGGGCTGCTGGCTGCTGGAGAGAGCTGTGCAGACTGGCGACGAGACTGAGCAGAATACTCCGAGTCCACTTCAAAATCAAAGGGATGCACAGACAGCAGGCGCTTTGTCTTGCACATCTTAGTGTGGGAAGTGCAAGAAAGGAGAATTCAGCATAAACCACAGCTGATCTTGAAAGGAAGTGTGAGGGAGGGCCCTTGTCCCCCCAGTGTGCCCCAGTCTGCAGAGCATCAAGTAAGGCTCCTGCTTCCTGCAGAGGCACTTTGGGTCTGACACTGTCCTGCTTGCAGGGAGGCAGGTTTATAGGGCAGCCTGTGTTGGAGTCAAGGAAAAGTGGATTCCTGACTTCTTGTCTCTGGCTCAGGACTGCTGCCATAAGCAGATAGTAAGAAGCTCTCTCCTGGTTTATAAAAGTACTGAGGGAAAGCTGAGTGAGGATACAGCTCAGGGAGAAATCTGGGAGATGCTTTTGATATCTGAAGCATCTCCCCATCTTCAGAGAAAGGATGCTGCTGGCAGATCTTCCCAGATATCTGGGAGGTCATCAGCTGCCTTGGGGCAGGAACAGCTTGGACAAGCTTCTAAATCTTCAGAAGCAGATCAGAATGAAGCATCATAGAATCACAGAATGGTTTGAATTTGAAGGGACCCTAAAGCTCATCCAGTTCCAAATCCCTGCTGTGGGCAAGGACACCTTCCACTAGAGCAGCTTGCTCCAAGGCCTGTCCAACCTGGCCTTGAACACTAGTATGTGAAATGCAGCACATACCTGTATCCATAGACTTAGATGACATGTATGTAACAGCACGTTTGTAGCTGTAACCAGCAATTCAAACATACCAACAGATTTCACACATGCTACAGGGACACATACTCTTCCCATCAGGCTCCTTAGTCTGTGCACATAGTCCCAGAAAAACCCAGGAGATAATGCAGTATACTCATGGACCCAGCTGTGCTTTGCTACTCTACCACATACCTCTTCTTCTAGTAAAAACCACCCCAGGTGGGTTCTCATTATATGGGTAGGGGCTGGGACTGTGATATTCATTAGGGACATTCTTCATGCCAGGAGTGGATCTTTTTTACAGAGAACAAGTGTTTGTGGTTTTACTGTCTTGGTTGTTTCTACACAAACTGGGAGAGGGGCTTACCTCAGAGAAGGAAAACAGAGAGAAAGGCCCAGATCTGAATGTGGCATAGAAACCCACTATCACCACCACCACCATGACCCAAAGCAGGCTAGCAGCAGCTGGGGGCACAGGGTGAGGAGGAAGGAGCCACAGAATGAAACACTTACTCTGCTGTAGCAATCTGCTTCAGCTCCACGAAGGACATTGTCTTCATCATTACTGCCGTCCCCAACATCACCACTGGTGAGGAGCTGGCACTCACCTGAAGGGGAGACAATGGCATGCTGTGTAAGGGCATCTCCTGCACCCCATTCCTGGGGAGGTAAGTGCCTTCTGTGGTGATCACACCATGCTGCTTATATGGAATGAAAAAGTCCAGATTAGAATCCCAGCCTGAAGGGACCTTAAAGCTCATCCGGTTCCAACCCCTGCCACGGGCAGGTACACCTTCCACTAGAGCAGGTTGCTCCAAGCCCCTGTGTCCAACCTGGCCTTGAACCCTGCCAGGGATGGGGCAGCCACAGCTTCTCTGGGCACTCATTGCTTTCCCTTCCAGATGTACGCTCTCAAAGGTGTGGAAGTGACCACTGCAGGAAGAATAAGGGCACCCGCATCGCAGAGAGCACTCCAAGGTCCACCTGAGTGACTCTGGTGTTTGAAGGCAGCACAGTTCAGCCTAACACAGCTCTGCTGGTAGTCCTGATTCCTATCAGCCAGCTCTGCTGTCAGTGACTCATTCCTTTCTGGTCCCCATCTTTGTACCCAGATCACTGCCAAGACCGGCACTACATTGGGAACAACACAAATGCCAGACCAAGTCCAAAGTCAAGGTAGGCGAAATGTTTTTTCTTTTATCAAATGGCAAGGTGCGGTGAATTTCTCCTGCAAGGGCTCCTAGGGAATGCAACCTGAGGTCTTGAGTTTTGTGGGTCCCTTAATAATATGGCCAGCTTCAAGTGTATGACATGGGTGCAATTGAGATGGTGAGTACTTGCAAGCTTCAAGTTTGGCATGTAGCTAAAAGCCCTGTTGAACCCAAGTCCTACCCTTTGACACCCCAGGTGTACAGCAGTGCAAGAGACAGATATTACAATCCACCTCCACTGCAGTGGAGAGATGTCTTCCCTGGTCCAGCCACACCAAACCATATCGGAGAGCTCATAGCCAGAGGGTGTGAAGAGGAAAAGACATTGGAAAGCTCTCTTGAACTGCGAGTCACATGCTGCAATTCTCTTTCATACTCACTGTTAATGTCTGGCAGGCTGTAAACTCTGTCCTGAAGACCTAAATGGAAAGAAAAATTGTGGGAAAAATAAATAAGCTATTTTCTCCAGGTACCTCTAAAGAACAAGCCTCAGAGCTATGGTTAACTGCAGTTCTCATTCTTCAGCCATCACAAGGCACAGTCATCAGAAAGTCATCAAAAAGAGAGGATAAAAGAAGCACTCTAAGAAAGGACATGACTCGAAGGTCTTATTGCCATCGCTTCCATGGACCTGATGCAGCACGTCTGGAAGTGCAGCAGCAGATGGCCATGTAAAATGCAGTGGTTTCACATCATTCTGCTCCATCTCCTGCAGTCAGAGATAGACCCCAAGCGGAGGCTCTTGCTTGCTTGCTTAAGGGTAAAGGCAATACACTGGTGCTAATGAAGTAATAACAATAAAATAATTCATCTTTAAAAAGACATCAGACTCTCAACATAAAGAAACCTAAAGCACTGTCATCCTCAGAATTGGCTTGGCTTTCTTTCAGATTGTCCTTTCTCTGTGGTCTGATGTGTTTTCAGACTGAATGTTGCATGATTTGTCTCTCAGTGCATTAATTGTATATTTAATGTCACTGCCCTTCATGCTGTGGTTATTTCTGCCATGAGTGGTCTGGATAAGGTCTGGGTTGGACCAGCTGAAACAGCTCATGTCTATGGCATTTGTCCAAACTTTTCTGTGGCTCCACAGAAAAGGGGTAAAAATCCACATTGGTTTTCAAAAGCAACACACAAAGTACATGCAAATGGCAGCCAGCAGCTACTCAGTGAATAACACTGTATTAACAACAGCTTTCAGCATATGTTCAGGCACTATTGGACCAATATCAGAAACACTGAAGTTTCTGAGAGCTCTGAAGGAAATAATTTTGGTGAGAGGAAGCTCAATAATGTTGATACTGTTTGTTCAGGGCCAGACCATCACCAGATCAGCTGTAAAAGTCATTAGATCAAGGGAAACAGTAAGTGCTGCCTTATTCAGCCAGCTGGATGTACTGGCCCTGCAGGTTAAACTTGGGTTAATCTCACAAGCTCTCCCCAGTGACAAAAAGAGCTAAAAAAAAGAAAAACAAGAGCTGCAACTCTTATACACAAACTGCAGGACGGGAGATTTATTAAAACAAAGCACCAGATATTCTGAAATCTGTGGTGAAAATGCAAATCTTAGAGTTAAAAATCATAGAATCATAGAAGCAAGGAATGGTTTTGGTTGGAAGGGGCCTTAAAGCTCATCCAGTTCCAACCCCCTGCACAGGCAGGGAGACCTTCCACTAGAGCAGGTTGCTCCAAGCCCCTGTGTCCAACCTGGCCTTGAACACTGCCAGGGATGGGGCAGCCATAGTTTCTCTGGGCACCCTGTGCCAGCGCCTCAGCACCCTCACAGGGAAGAGCTTCTGCCTAAGAGCTCCTGCCTAAGAGCTCATCTCAATCTCCCCTCTGGCAGGTTAAAGCCATTCCCTTTGTCCTGTCCCTGCAGGCCCTTGTCCAAAGCCCCTCTCCAGGTTTCCTGCAGCCCCTTTAGGCACTGGAGCTGCTCTGAGCTCTCCCCTTAAGGAGCCTTCTCTTCTCCAGGCTGAACCAGCCCAGCTCTCTCAGCCTGTTTTCATAGTAGAGGTGCTGCAGCCCTCTCAGCATCCTCCTATAACATAACACATGCTGTGCTGCTTGCAGTATGAGCAAACAGCTCAGAACCTCTGCTTCCTCCCCAGGATGTTTTGAATGGTCTGGAAGCCAAAGGCACTCAGAGCAGCATCAGTGCTCATTTTCCTCGGTGCATCCCAACACAGTGCTGCGCAAACTCCCCATGTGCAGCAGGCCAGGAGGAACCCCAGTGCCCTCCTCACCTAGAAATGCAGAGTTGTTGCCATGCCCCGGCTGCAGCCTGCCATAGAGGGACTGCAGCACTTTGGCACTTCCAAACCTCTTGAAACGGGATCTCACATGTTCATAGTACCACTCCAGGGAGCCGATCTTCACGATCCTGCCGAAAGAGACAGTGCCCATACAAGGTGAGCAAGTCTGGCCACACTCGTGGTGACCAGACCCTCACCCAGAAACCATCTCCTAACAAAATCAGTTTGTTTTCTAGTCAGCAGAATTGGTTTCTAAGCAGCATAAAGGGATGCTGAGTTTGGGTGACCCATCCTGAGCCTCAGCCCCAAGGCTTGCCCTGCCCTTCACCCTCTGTTGCAGGTACCTGGAGAGGCGGCAGGGATCACAGACCCAGCCTTGCTCCTTCTTGTTGTAGCGACTGCAGTTCTTGCAGGTGTAAAAGTGGCAGTCCTGGCACTGCCGCTTGCTGTTGAGCAGGAACTTGAAGGGCTGGAGGCAGTGGACACAGTGGGTTTCGTTGAGGTGGGACTGATTTGTCAGGAACTCTCTCTTGCTACTCTCCTGGTTGATCTTGCGTTTTAGCTCCCTGCAAAAACACATCCCAAAACACAGGAACTTGGTTTTGTGACTGTTTCACTGTGAGCTCCCACATGGCAAACACCATCACACCCCTATCATTGTAGCAATGATTTTCCAGAGAGCATCCTGAGTCCCACAGCTGGTGGAAACCACTGCAGGGCAAATCCAATAACTGACATATCACCAATTACATAAGCTGAACAAAGACATGGGCTCCAGAGTCTAGGCAGGCCAAAATACATTAGGACCTGCTGCTGTTGAGATTGAATTTGGTTGAGCCAAAACCTGTCCCATTTTCTTCACAGGTTATTGGTCAATTGATCAATCCCAGGAATCTCAGGAGAGTGGCTCCTCTCAAATTGTCTGGCTGATACCAACCCAGCACAATCTTTCAGCTGGGAATGAAAACCTTTCTGAATTCTGGGAGGAGGGAGGAAAAACAGTCTGAGATTTAAAATGACTAAAAGGGGTTCTAATCTAGTATTTCGGTGCTAGATTCAGCCAACGCTTTAAATAAAGGCAGAAGTGATGTGCAACGAGGTTCTGGCTGCTCAGAGAACAATAGCAGGAGATGTTCATGACAGTCCTGTGAAAGACTGGCCAACACAAGTGCTTACCAAAAGCACCTTCTCCTGGCAGTTCACTGCAGGCTTCCTTTGCTGCTCAGACCTGGCTGCTGTTCAGAATGCTAAACAGCATTCCTTTGCTGTTCAGAACAGGGGCTGCAGGTCCCCATTCAAGAAGCTGCCTGTGTGAGGCTGAGCCCCCGGTGACGGCCGAGGCCAGCTAAAATGCGTGCCAAGCTGGTGAGAGCCCATTACACTTCCCAAAGGTTTTCTGTTTGTTCCCTGCCCCACTCACTGCTTCAGGTATGTTTGCTTTTGGGGCCATGCCCAAGAAGCAATGTTTGAGTTGTAGGGAAGGTCCCTAGAAAGTTGTTTTCTGCCCAGGCAGGGTTTTGAAGCTGAATTTTCCAAGGTAGAAGTCAGCCTGGGCCAAAACCCTCAATCAGTCATGACTGGAGGCTGCTTCAGGAGCACAGTCTGGACCAAAGGCTTCTGGTGGTGCTGCCAGTGCCCCCCAGGCAGCAGGGGCTGACGCCAGGCTGACCACAGCAGGAGCTGTGTGGTGTGGCAGCATGGTGCAGGGGCATCCATGGGAGCAGTGATGTGACTGGTGGACTGGTGGTGAGATTGATGTGAAAGCAAATCAAGCTAATCTCTGTTTAACCACATCAGTTTGCACTTGAGGGATCAGCTCTTGGGGTTTGTCGGGGGGGGGGCGGGATACAACACAGAACTTTTCTCATCAGCTCCCTGCCAGCACCTTGCATTAACTGAGGATCTGGAATGTGTAAAAATCAGTATAAAGCCTGAACTGTGCACCTAGCGTTGCATTTAAATATTCACAGTGTTCTGAACAGCTTAGTGCAAATGCTCAGCAGTAATTTACCTGTGGGTACTAAAAACAATCCCCCACACAGAAAACCCTTGGGTTGGGCTCAGAGCTCCTTTTCCACTCCCATGCTAAGGCTGTTTCCAGCAGAATCTGATCTTTCGGGACTGCTTTTTCTGGTTCCCAGAGACCGGTCGGATCCCTTCGCCTCCCCTCCCTCGCCCACGAGACCTGCCAAAGGAAGGACAAGTCTCAACCAAACCAGTTTAAAACCCACAGGGACTGCACACCTCTTGTCTCTTCTTGCTGGCAGGAACACAAGCCAGCCCTTTCCCTGCTCTGCTCATGGAAGAATGAATAGGCTACTGTGGGATGCCAAACTGCAGCGGGGTCCATCCAGCTGAGCTCTGGAAAGACACAGAGAGCTGTCCCCCAGAAATGGGGCTGCTGGCAGGGATGTGTATGGAAGGAACCAGGGAGAGCCCCCACAAAGTGGCCATTATTTCATTTCTTGGGCAAAGCATTCCTCTTGCATAGCCATGTGGTTTCTGGCCAGCTGAAACCTTTGTCCATTGTTGGGGAGTATCTTTAGCCAAAAAGAAAACACAGAGAAGCAACAGAAAGGAATGAAAAAGACCAAGCTGGGGGAAGGGGGGGGAACAGGGGAAAGGGAAGAAATCTTTAAGGTTTGCATGTTGAGACGAGCCCAGTGAATAGAAAAGCCAATGAATAGAAAAGTCCGTGGGGGTGGTCAGAGCACAGGGAGCAGGGTGAACGGCTGCAGGGTCTCCCACAATGTCACATCATGTCCCAGCTTGTTACAGGTAGAAAATGCTCTCACAGCTTCATGTCCAGCCTGCAGGAGTGTGGCAGGTCCCTAGACTGGTGGTCTACTCTATGCCAGGGCATTATAGGAGCATCTGATGTCTGGCTTTAGCTTGCAGAGAGGCAACGAAGCCTGGGACCGGGTAGCGTGCTCTACCCCGGAGACTCAGGCAGTGCCAGGCGCTGCTGGGTTAACGCCAGCCTTCTGTGAGACACCAACACTGAAATGTAAAAGCTGTAACTGCTGGGACAGAGGGAACATTGCTCAGAAGCTGGGTACATGTGCCCCCTGCCTCACAGCTCCCGTTCCACGACACTCCATCTGGGAGCCCCCGGGGCATCAGAGGGGACCCAGAGAAGCCAGTCTGGCGCCAAGGTCAGCTAAGTACCGAATTCACCTTCCCACTCCTTTGCTGCAGGGCACAGCAATGTCTGTCCCCACCTCCTTCCTCCAGGCACAGCTCAGATCCTTCGCAAGGGAGTCATTCACCCTTCCCAGGGTGATGATGTGTTTCAACAGCCATGTCTGATCTGCCGTCCTGCTACCAGCAAAGGAAGGCAGCAGATGACGATACCGAGTTATCTCTGCCTCCTACACAGGGCGCGTTTTCTTAGGCAAGAAACATATGTAATCAGGAGGTTCAAAAACATATGAGTGAGAGCTTCCTGTGGCTGCTGGTGTAAATGGAGCGGCTCACACACAGCGTGGTGTGAGCACACACCAGCGAGCTCTGGGGGGAGGATTCAACGGTACAGATGTAGATATCCAAATGCAGAATAACTGTCACCCCTTACCTCTCCTTTTGGCTCTGACAGAGCAAGCAATGAGCTCCTGGCCATCAGCACCAGCCGTGGCTCACAAAACCCAGAGCTAGGAGGGTAGGAGAGCCCAGTGGGAGTGCAGTACTGCCCAAACCTGGCCTGGGGGCACAGGCCATACCCTTCAGGTAATACCCCTTGGGATAATAATGAGAACTTGGCCAGATCCTGAACGAGGACACTGCAGCTTCTTGAAATACAGTTAAGAAATTACTAAGTCCAGTGCCTGATGTAATTAATGAACAAGACCTAAACCCCACGATTTCTCATGCTAAAAAAAAATTAATCTAATCCGACCAAACATTTTTTAGACAGCACTTTTGTCAAATGACCTGTTTATAAGAGCTTAGACGATACATCCATTCGCTGCTCTAGAGACTTTTCAGTCCTTTCCCGATGTGTGCCCCCCTAAAACTTCCCAAGTATGGCACACCGCCCTGTGGAGCCTATTTAAGGCAATTACGGTTTACTTCTCCTCTCAGTTATTTTTCCAGAATCCTTCAGGAGTCTTTAGACTCCCAGGACCCACTGATCACCGAGTAACTCTTGTGTCCTAAACACACAACTATCATCACATGAAACAAAAGCAAGGTTTCAAATCCCATCCTTTGCTCCAACCTAAGGTCTCCCCGTGAGAGCCATGCCAGCATCAAGCCCCACAAAGGCATTTCCTGAGTGAGGCCCGCATATGTATCCCGATAAGCTCCCGTAATGACATTGATCCGCATCGCCGCTGATGGCACAGCGCCAGGTTGCACCTTTGCAGCCCGAACTTGTCACCTTGACGCTGATAACGTCATCTATTCACCACTATGTTTGATTTTCACAGCTTGGTCCTGGCTGTTCCTCCTCTCACACAGCCTCGATGCATCGCCTGATTCCTACAGCCTACCCGCAGGAGTGCGTACAGGGACCCACAGGTCCAGCTTGCTCGCACCCAACCTCGCGGACCAGAGAGCAAATACTCACTCCAGCCGTTCCTCCTCTTTTTTCCGCAGATCAAAGTCTCGCTGAACCACTTCCCAAACGTGCTTGGCTTCTTCATCCGTTAGCTTGGAGAGGTCCAGCTTCCGCCCCATCGTCCCGGCGACGGCTGAAGCCGGTCCCGTTACTCACTACCCCGAGTGCTCACTCTCCCGCACCGTCGGATTATGTGAAGAGAGAAAAGGAGCTCTGCCCCACCTCTGTGTCCGCCCATGTAAATGGGCAGAGATGCAGGCAGGCCACCCGGTCCCTGGCAGCACCGCAGCCGGTCTGCTGGGTGAGCCAGGCTTGGAGCACGGCTGGCACGGTGCCTATCGCTGCGGGTGACTCCCGGACCCGGGCGGGCAGCCCTGCCTGTCCCCGCGGTCCTGCCCACTGCTGCAGGCAGCTCCAGACCTGGTCCGCCTCGCTCGGCTGGGGTGGAAGGAGATGTTTGCTCTCAGCGAAGCCGCCTGCTTTTATGCAGGGTGTGCGAATCAAGTGAAACTTCCAACGCCTCCGGGGCAGGCAGGCCACGGGGTTTGGGAGGGGGGTGAGCATCCCTGGGAGGAGCTGTGCCTGCACCAACAGGGGCACCGAACGGTTCCATCAACCGGCTCCCTAACAGGGGTCCTGGCCCACCGCGACCCTCTGCTCCCCTGCTTACTCCCCAGCTCTTTCTTCTGTGTCTGATCTCATTAACCCAAGTTCTGTCGCCATCAGCAAAAGCCTCCGGCTCCCCCCACCCCCACCAGTACAACCACAACAGAGACTGGCCTCCAGCATTTGCTTTTACAGCAATTTGGGAAGCTGAGCTTTGCTTGTGTCCACTTAATTAGGACACAGTGATTCTCTCATTTACAGTGAGCACGAAAAGAGGGTTTGTCAGGATTTTAAGAAAAATACTAAAGTACATCACACACCTAAAGCATGTACATTGCAATAATCCAACTACTAAAGCTGCTTTCTTGCTCAGTAAAACACTCCCTCTGCGTCTAAGCAGGAACTTCCCAGACCTTGGATACTGAAGGAAACCTGTATCTTATCTTCATCAGAGCAAATACTAACACCAACCACACTTTCTTCCCCCTAAAAGGTATCTAAACAGGGAGCAAGACAGCAGGACCAAAGAGGAATAGTTGGTGTGAATAGCCTCACTGCTGCTCAGACACTGCGCTTGCCCATGGGTGTAGGCAATTAACCACCCCAGTAACTCACTTAAAACAAAGATTAAACTCTACGAACAGAGCCAGGAAAGGATTTGGAACCCAAACTTGGATTAATTTTGTGCAGAAAAGGTGATGATCACAGATGCAATGGTGAGTTTAAATATCAGGAATGCATGACCTTTGCTGGAAGCCAGAAATTGATTTCTCGTTCCTTTTCCAGCAGAGATGCTGCCCCAGCAAAAACAATTAGTTTATTGGCAGAAGCCAGGCATTGGTTTTGCTGCCCCTTATGTAAGCATATCTGAGAGCCCGTGTTTGCCCCACTGCATCTAAACAGCATCAATAAATACTAATTAACATCACAACGAGACCTTGTTCCAAGACCTGTTGGGCCAAACAGGCCAGGAACTGCAGTGCTGGGGTTTGCACCACCCAGATCTGAATACTTCCATCTCTCAGAGGTTAAGAAGGCTACATAAAATGGGGACGATGTGGCCTCCTATGTGATAAAAATGTGAAAAATGCAAGTGCTCAGCAGTGCCAATTCTCCCAAAAAGGACTGTTTTAGCTGGAAAACCACTTCTGTCGAGTACTAGGTTGTCCTGGGAACTGCATCTCTCCAGGGAATAATGCTCCCCCAGCCCAGCGGCGTGTGTACCAGAAAGTTTTGTAGTGATTCAGAGCCGTAAAGTACCAGATTCCAGCAATCCTTTGCTTTGAGAAAGACAATTAAACTTGCCTGCCCACAGCTCCTTCCCCGTCATCCAGCCACCAATAAAGGCTCCCAAACCTCATGAACTCATGCAGAAGAGAAATAACAAACCCAACAAACAAACCCAGAGCCACTCATACAAACACTGTCACATGTCATAGGGCCAGATGATCTTATATTACATTCACCAGCTCCTGCAGTGACCATGTGTGTTTGGGGTGGAAGTTGGGAGCAGGGATGCAAAGGACAATGTGAGTTCTATTTCCTATTAGCTGGAGGCTGAACTGAACCTCACGTCCAGTTGAGTTGGAGGTCCATGGTGTGGCAAAATGGGAGAGAAGAGTGCTACAAGCTAAGCCTGTCCCAAGAAACTAGGCATGGATAGAGCTCAGGCTTGATTTCTGATTTTCAGTCTTGCCAGATGATAATCCCTGGTGGGATTTCTGGGGTATCTTCTTTAAGAGAAATATGCCCTTCTAGACACAGGACTGCTCTTTTAAACCTAATACTCACATGAGCTGTTATCTTTGCAGCTCTTGGTAATTTTCTCTACATCAACTGTGAACTGATCTTCTGTAAGACAACTATGAACTGACACTGGAGGGTGTCCCTGCCCATGGCAGGGGTTTGGAACTGGATGATTTTTAAGGTCCCTTCCAACCCAAACCATTCTAAGATTCTATGCTATATAGACAAGTGGCCTGGACCTTCTCCAGCCATCCATTTTTAGTGTCTGTGGTTTTTTTTTCCTGATAACTGGAAGCAAACCCATAAACAGAGTTCAACAGAGCTGGTGGATGAAAATACTATTCGGTTGTTTCTAAAGACCACAAATGCCACCCCACTGAAATCAGCCAATTCTCAATCCCCCATCCTTGCTTTCAGCCTGGCATCTCCACGTGCAGAGGGCCCTGCTTGGCCACACCAAGGGGAGAACCTACCACAACTTCTTTAAGCATAATGATACCCTATTTGCCAAATATCTGCCCCAAGTGCTGCACCACCCCACATGCCAACCCTGTGCTGGCATACACAGCCAGCCTCGACCAAACCAGGAAACTACAATGGTACCTAGGGATGCAGGAGGACATTCCACACTGCTCTGTGATGGATCACCATAGCAGACTGCAGCACAGCAAGGTGCATCTGCAGCCTCAGAAGTGGGAAAAGAGGATCTTACAGGGCCACAGCTAGCAGGCTGATTGGGAAAAGCTGCTGAAATGATGCCTAGGGGCAGGATGATTTACAGTGTGCCAACCCCAGCTTCGCTCCTCACTCCCTGGATGACTCCAGTGTGTGTTCTGGCTCTCATATATACAGAGTCATCCCAAGACCTCAGCCAAGCTGCAGGAATTTTCAAAAGCCATGGGGAATCAGACCAGCAGCATCCACCAGACAATCTCCAAGCCGCAGTGAGAGACGACACAAGACCCTTATTCACAGTAGCATAGCAAAAACAGGGTAGCTCCAACAAACAAGGCAGCAGGAGCAATTTCACAGGTGCCTCTGCCTTTCTCAACATCCCCCTAAAAACATCTCCCAAGTCATGAGATCTTGTAAGGCTGGGGTGCCATTCCTTCTCCCTTCAGCTCTTTGGCAGTTTTATAAAGACCTGTTATCATCCCCATCATGCTGGAGTGGAGCAAGCAGGACAGGGAAGGGGCGTACAATGCTGCTGCTATTTTTGTACATGACCTGCAAGGGATCATTACGGGTTTTATCTATTAATACGACTGTTAATTATGTTATGGCATGACCGTATCTCAACTGGAATGACCCCAACAGCCTGAGTTAAAGAAAATGGCCACTCAACATGGATGCTCTGACATCTGAGGCAATTAGAGAACTGCCATCGCAGAGGACTTGAAAACAAAGCTTGTGGACTCTCATTCCTAGGGCAGGAGCAGTAAGGGCATTTTTCCTAACCATGTGAATGCTATGGAGCGTTGGCTGGTTGATACCTTATCTCTGCCTTCTCTTATCTACCCCAATTTTTCTAATATGGATCTAATAATATTTTTGATGGATTATGCCACAAGGCTACTGTCAACCTGATGTGAGAAGCACTGCGTCTTGAGGACTACACACCAAACCCTGATCCAAGCTCACCATCCTGCTCTCATATCACTCAAAGCTCTGGATTCCTGTGGATCAGGAACTATTTCCACTTTCCTTACCTGTTTTACCAATGTAAGCCTGCATCATCTCTATTCTATTTCCAGCTTGCCTTTGGAAAACAGCAAATGTTTTTCTGTTAACCAATATGAAGAGAAATCCAGACAGTTGCTGGGAGAGTTCCCACCAGAAATGCAGGTTTTTCACAGGAACATGCTTTCCCTAGCATCTGAGGTGAGCTGGATCCTGTGGGAATGCATCATTTGCAGTGATAAAAAGTACAATTCAAGCATCTGCTTTGGGCAGTAAAACACTTGGCAAAGGGCATTGCCCTCTACAGCCTGTAGGAATTACCAAGGTAAACAGTCACTGAGCAAACACAAGTAAATCCCTACAAAATCAACAGGAGTTCAAAGTCACTTCCGACATGTGCCTTAATGGATTGTATCCTACTGCAACCCAGCAACAGCAGATGGAAACAAAGACTGGTTTGGGCTCTGTGGAGACCACACAAATCTTGTCCAGACCCTGGGAGATGTGCTCTGAGAAATACCTTCAGGAGCAGCACCTGGGGCCCATTGAAGTTCATCAGCAACTTTAACACAGATGTAGGAGTTACTCTAGAGACAAATGGTTCAATACATCTTAAATGCAAAACGCTGATTGATTGGGCAAACAGCACTTGAGTACTTCAGAGATCGTGAGATCCAGGACAGAGAAGACTACTCATTTGACAGGCCAGTCCATTCCCTCTCCTCTATAGATGGTAACAAGAGCACTGATTCCCTCCCCTTCCCCATGCTCCACTATGAGAGCAGAGCAGAGCAGATCACAATGGTCAGGTTTCTATCCCTTCCCCCTGGGGACTATGTCCTATCCTGTCCCAGAGGCTAGGCTTTAACATGTGTTCAAATATCCTCCATTGCAATAGCCTAGAGTAGCCTGACGTCTCAGGCATCACTGTCAGAGGTGGAGATGTTTGCAAAGAGCTTAGACACAACACAGGCCAAAGTAATCTTGTCTTGGGTCAGAGGAGGGACCAGCTACGCTGTTCTAGGAAAGTCCCATGTAGTTTGCAGTAAAACCTGGACTTTTTCACACCATTTTGACAATGATGAAGTGGGAGTTTTGCTGCAGACATCAAACCCAGGAGATCCCAGCAAATGCCCAAGAGGGTCATCCTGAAAAAAATTTTTGCCTCCCTAACTTTAAATCTTGAATGTAATTATGCTATGACTGGGATTTCAGCCTGCAGCAAGAACCTGGATTCACATCATCCATATGGAAAGCAATGCTCTGAAAGGGGCTGGAGGCTTCACCAGTTACTCTGGAAACAGCCTGAGCATCTCTGAAGCCATGAAGGAGATCAGAGTTATCAGGTAGTGGCACTAACTGGATGTTCCTGTTCAGCCAAATAGCAGGGTCAAAGCTGAGACAAGGACTGAGAGCTAACTGCCTGAGGAACTGAGCAGCTTGTGCATGTTTAGGGTGCTTGCTTCAGGCTGTCTGAAGGCAC